ACTCTCTCAGTAGTCATTTATTGAATTAATTAAAGTTTATTTTCAAATGTCTGTTTGATTGATTTCACCGGATTCGAAATGGTCACTCTAATGGTGACATAACTAATAAAAACCGATCGATGCGGCATTGAAAGAACAATAATATTATTAATAGTTTTAGCGAATAACAAGCGATACTGATTGTACACGCGGTGGTTCTTCATGGTATAGTTAGCTGATGGATGACCCTTTAATATCAGTGAGTGTGTCGTCATTCAGGTCCATCAACGCCTTCTCGACCTCACTGTCAGCCACTGTAACAGTGATTAGAGGGACTTCATTTAAAAAGATCCATAATCTCCAGACTTTTCTCGGTGTACACAGTTCTAGAAGACAAAATTTCACCACGATAGTTACTTATGGATTACCTTTATTATTATTATTGTTCCCTTGGGCTCCTAGTGGAACATAGGGCTTCAACTGCACGTCTCCACTTGCTTCTGTCTTCTGCTGTACTTTTCACTTGCATCCATGTTAGTCCATACTGTTTCAGCTCCTCTTCACACGATCTCCTCCATGTCACCCTTCGACGCCCCACTCGCCGCTTCCCTTTCGTGCTCCACTCGAGCACTTACCTGACGCGCGATGTCACCACCCAATGGCCTCTTCAGAGAGTGTCCAATCCATCTCCACTTTCTCCTGCATATTTGTTGGGCGATTGGTTCTTGTTTTGTTTGTTCCCATAGTTTCTTGTTGGTGATTCTTTCAGGCCATCTGATCTTCATTAGATAGCCAGCGAAGACAGCTGTTGATAAAGGTCTGCAACAGACTGTTGGAAATATTCTTGGTGACTCGTCAAGTTTCTGATCCGTATAGAAGAACTGATTGACTTGACGTTTGTATTGAAAATCCGAATCATTTTGTTGTTGATGCTGAGTTGAGTGAGGAAGATTTCCAGATTGGTTTCAGGTTGATGAATGTGTTTCTCGCCTTCCCGATTCTCGATTTGACATCCTCGTCCGTTCCTCCTGTAATTGAGACAATGCTCCCTAGACAAGTGAATGAAGTGACCTCTTTGAAATCCCTCCCGTTGATGGTGATTGGCATCGGATTTTGCTGCTGTTGTTGTTGTTGGTTGGTTACTTTCATAACCTCCGTCTTGTCTTTGTTCACCTGGAGTCTTGTCTTCTCTGGCTGCTTCTTCGACCAGTTTGTCGGTTTTTGCTTTCAAGTGTTCGAATTTGTGTGACATCAAACATAAATCATCCGCGAAATCCAGGTCTTATAGATTCGTCACATCGGTCCAGGATATCCCTGTCTTCTCGTTTCCCACTGTCTGATGCACAATCCAGTCCACCACAATTAGGAATATCATTGGTGATAATAAGCACCCTTGTCTGACTCCTGTGTTTACTCCAAACGCTTCGCTGAGTTTTCGGTTGTGGATCACTTGACATGTGCCGTTGTCGTACAGTTGTTGAATAAGGTTGATGAATATTTTGGGGTACGCCGTAGTACTCGAGTAGTTTCCAAATTACTTCGCGGTCAACGCTGTCGAAGGCCTTATCGAAGTCTATAAAGTTGAGGTAGAGGTTTAATTACCGTTCCATTCTTTGTTGGATGTTGATGCGTATAGTTGCAATTTGGTCAGAACATGATTTGACTTTCCTTAATCCAGCTTGTTCTAGTCGGAATTCTGTATCTAGTGCAGCCTTTATCCTCTCCAGGATTATGCGACTCAGAATTTTACTTGGCGTCGACAGGAGCATGATTTCTGGATTACCTTTAGATTATACACAATATGTTATCTGCTTGATATCATGAATGGTAGTCAAGAAAGTCAGCTTAGATGCATAAAGCCATATACCACTGATCGATTGAAATGAATGGGTGAATACCACTCATATTAGCGGGCAGTGCTTGCTTGTCTGCCTGATTGAGGTGACCTAAACACACGTGGACAGCCGTTTCGCTTGTTTGAGATCTGGCTTATTAGTGGTGTACTAGGATTCACTGACTCACCTCGGAGAGCCGAATCAATTCAAACCATCATTTGAAAAAAATATTTTAATGAAGAAAGAAAATTGTTATACACGCCTCATTTTGCTAAAGCCTTAAACTGCTACCTTTATTTACAGTACCAAGATATTTCTATTCACCTACTCCCTTTATGATGGATGCCTCATGGGCATTTAAAACCTGTTTATATGTGAGATTGCTATCAAGCCTTTTCGCCACTGCTGATTCGAGACAGTCATTACATTCTTACAACTTAAGTTCCTCAGTGATGATAGCAATAAAATAATAACAGAACGCTTAAGGAATACGGTGGGAAGAGAATTCACTACCGCTGAATAACGATTTCTCTTCATAATTACTCCAATTTTAAATTTGTGAGTTAAAGATAAACTACGTAATTTCTCCTCTTCTATGTATATCTGTCGGTATGACTGCTTGCATGTGGCCAGTTACATTGGGCATACAACTAGGCATGCTCATCATTGGGTTTCTAAACACCATTCTAGGTGGCTAAGCTGTTTTATATTGGATGGTTTGAGGCAATCGATAGGTAGCCTTACTGAGACCTAGGTTTCGTGCTAGCTGTCACTCACCAGTCAGCAAGGCGTATCTGCGAAACTGAAGGGACTGATGACCCTTTTGAGGTTCAAACCCACGTCACCCAGTGCTGCTTGCAGTCAGATAAGTTACTAGTGAGATATTCAGGATCATAACTGGCCTCCCGTAGGACTGTATTGGATATTTTTGATTGGACACTAGTCAGTAAGTAGTGTAATGTGTCTACTCCTATCTTCGGTGTAGACTGAATTCTATCAGTCTGAGTTCCTTCAGAGTTTCAGATACGCCATGCTGACTGGTGAGTGCCAACTAGCATGAGACCTAAGTCAGGCATGGCTTCCTGCCGATTACCTTCAACCATCTAATATCAATAATTTACAGTGCACCGTGATGGCGAGCCACCTAGTGGCATGGTAGCCACATTGCAAACTTGACTGATAGAATTCAGTCTGCTGTAAACAAAGGACTAAACATATTACACTAGATACTGACTAGTGTTCAGTTAAAAAAGATCTTTTCTATTTCATCTCGTGGGTACGGAACATAAAATTGGTACTAACAAGGCTTTTAAAGTTATCTACCTTATTCCGGCTAATCTTAATTTAATCCTACGCTTTTGTCTGTTACATACTGTGGAAGCCCTCGAAGTCCACTTATGTATTCAAAAGAAGTTCGTTCAGACACTTTCCTTAACTTGACCATCAATGTTTTAACTATCCTTAATTTATCGCATAAACATGCTTTTGAAGTTTATCTAATACTCTATTTATTATTATTCCCTTGAGTTCCGAGTGGAACATAGGGCTTCAACAACACATCTCCAATTTGTTCTGTTTTCTGCTGTCCTTTTCAGCTGGGTCCACGATTGACCAAACTCTCTTATCTCTTCCACACACGATCTTCTCCATGTCACCCTAGGACTACCCACCCATCGCTTCCAGATTGGATTACACTCGATCAATGGCCTGCCGTGCGATGTCATCTAGTGGCCTCCTCAATGTACGCTTAATCCATCTGTACTTTCTCCTACATATTTGTTGAGCGATCGGCTCTTGGTTGGTTTTTTGCCAGAGTTTCTTGTTGATCTTCAGTATGGAGCCAGAGAAGGCAGTTGTTGCTGCAAGTCTGCAATATGTTGGAAATCCTTTTCGTGACACGCTGGCCAAGTTTCTGACCCGTATAGAAGGACCGACTTGACATTGGTGTTGAAAATGCAAATCTTGTTCCTTATGTTGAGTCACGGCAGAAGATTTCCAAATTGATTTCAGGTTGATGAAGGCATATCTCGCCTTTCCGATTTTGACTTTGACATCTTCATCCGTTCCGACTGCCTGTGATTGAAACCATGCCTCCTGGCCAGATAAGTGAATGAAGTAACGCCTGTCAAATCTCTCCCGTTGATGGTGACTGGTTGTAGTTGCAATTGATTTTTGTTGGTTATTATCTTCACCAGCTCCGTCCTCTCTATGTTCACCTGCAGTTCTGTATTCGCTGCAGGCTTCTTCAGCCAGTCTGTTAGTTTTCACCTGCAATTCTTCGAGTTTGTGTGACAAGAAACATAAATCATCCGCAGGCGAAATCCAGATCTTCTAGAGTCTTCTTATCGGTGATCCAGCGTATTCCTGTCCCCTCGCTCCCAACGCAATGTCTGACGCATAATCCAGTCGTCCATCACAATTAAGAATATCATCGGTGATAGTAGCCAGGCAGCCTTGTCTTACTCTTGTGTGCACTTCGAATGCCTCGCTGAGTTTTCCGTTGTGGATCACTTGACACGTGGCACTATCATATAGTCAGACAGCTGTTGAATGAGGTTGATAAAGACTTGAGGTACACTGTAGTGTTGAAGTAGTGAAGAAGACTCTATTTAGTACTACATTTTTAATGCTTATTATAACTTAAGCATCTTTCTTCAATTTTAATTCCATTGAGCTGACCATTTGCATATTATTTAAAAAAACATTTATTTTCTTAATGACGATTGTTCTGCAATATTATATATATGCATATATATGGAGATGGATTGGGTGCACATTGAGGAGACGGTCGAAGGACATCTCGCGCCAGGCCGTCGTTCGAGCGTGGGAAAAGACGAGTGGGGTGTGGGTCCGAGGGCGACATAGAGGAGGCTGTGAGAGGAAGAGATCAGAGACTTTGAGCAATCGTGACACCAGCTAATAAGAACCGCACGAAAAAGGATAAAAGTAGAGACGCACTGCTGAGGCCCTAAGTTCCAGACGGAACCCAAGGGAATAATAATAATATATAACTGTGGAGTAGGAAGACGAATTTATCGGAAAGAATATTCTTTTCTCAAACCTTTTTTTACATTTCAAGCATAGCTTTATCTATCCTCTTTTCAAGCTCATTATTTCAAACATCAGATTTCATTGACACACCTTTGGTAAATTCCTCACTTTTCTCTCTTTTACTGATTTCCTTAGCTACGGAAACACCGTCTGCAAGTGAGGGTAATGCAAATCTCTCTGAAACAATAGCACCACCAGCAGCAGCAACAACAACAGAGGCGACAGTAAACAATGTTGACGTTGAAGGATCTCCTAAAACAGCAGAGGTGAATGAAACTGATGCCAATCAAGTAAATAGCAAAGATGACAATCAACATGAAGGGATCGATAATCAGGCTGTTAATGACGGTGATAATAAAGTGAAAACAGTAGCTCCAGTATCTATCTCAGGTGATGCTGACGTCGTAAATTCTTCAGCAGATGAGCCCAAGGTAAGAGGGAGAAACTTTTCTTTTTTGAAGAGTTTTTATATTGATTAAAGATAACCAGTAGGAATTCTAAAAGACTGATTAATAGAGAAAAAGGAATATTCCTTACGATAACTTCCTCTTCATCGGGTTCTATATATCAGAATAATTTGGGAATTATTGTTAACGATAACATTAGTTTCAAGATTTCATCACGAACTGACAACAGTTGGAAGACCAATGGAATACCACTAAAGAGTACTGAACAGCCGTTTCCTCCTAGTTTGGCACTCCGCTTCAGCAATACGCATCCAACGGAATTTGAACCCGGTGGCTCAAGGGTCAACGAGTTCGCCCTGTTACCGGTAGATCACGGTTTCAAATCCAGATGGCTGTGTACTGTTGAAGCCCGGTACCAGACTCCTTTGTGGTTTTCAGTGGTTCTCTAACCGATGTCAGCTCATGATGAAATCCCGTAATCAATCAAATCAAATCCCTGCAAACCAATACTCGGATAACATCAGTATTTCTCTTAAATAACAGTAAATCATTAATATCAACAGATTATAGTTCACAAGCATCTGTAAGCGACAAAGCATATTCGTCATTCAGATTGACTTTTAATTCATGATATTATAAATAAACTGAATATCAGAGAAATAAGGAGAAATAATACAAAGGTTACAAATTTATAGGTTCTACAGCAAGCTACGCTAGCATTATTGGCTGAACCTGTTTCTTTCGATAAAGAAAGGAAGACGAAATTTGCAGTATAAAATGATATCATTCTACTTCACAGGTTCTCATCAGCTGCAGACTGCCTGAAATTACAATGGTTATATAGATGATAATAACATACTTTAATGTTTGAGTGGTAGTAGAGAGGAGATACTATAAAATTAACGCATCCAAAATGAAAGTATTACAATTTTTAGTTTAAGTTTTCATCATCAATTTATACACTTTCAAAGTAGAAAAGAGGGGGGAGGGGTAAGACAGAAAACAGAAAAAATTAACAAACAGTGTTAGCTTGTAGGTTCACATAGCAACTCAAAAAACAAAAGCGGTTACAGTTTATAAGATTGAGATTTGCTCAGTGAGTTGAGATCACTGAATTAGATGACTAATTAATGTAATCAAAATCAAAATTCAGTTACCAAGGGAGTGAGAGATTAATCACACTCTCTTTCTGTATGCATAAGTCTGGTTTAAATCGTTTGATTGCGATCGCTTCGGCAAATCGTAGTAAATTTGCTGTCCTTTGTCTATTTAATATTTTGAAGGACTTAGAAATCTCTACGAGATGTCATTTCATTTTGGATGCGTCAATTTCATAGTATCTCCTCTCTACTACCACTCAAACATTAAAGTATCTTATTATCATCTATATAACCATTGTAATTTCAGGTAGTCTGCAGCTGATGAGAACCTGTGAAGTAGAATGATATCATTTTAAACTGCAAATTTCGTCTTCCTTTCTTTATCGAAATTTATCAAGGGAACCAAATGTATGAACATGTTTCTTTTGCACATAGATCTCCGGTTGTTTTAAGCATATTGCAGTTTGGAGAGTAGTAATTTGCTCAATAATCGATAAATGATAGAGAAAGAATCTTCATTACAAGCTTTGTGGCTTATTTGCACGAGGTGGTTCCGAAAACAACACGTTTGTTTAATTCAATTATAGGCTTTCCCGTCGACTGATTGAATCGAAGTGCTCGGTTTCAGGTTGACATGTGGTCTCCTGGTGCAGATGCTTTGACGATTTCTGGGCATGTAATTAGAAGTTGATTGGTGGATGGTGACTAGCAGTGGAATCCAGCTTGATGCGCATTTCGTCCTATTTGGGACTCGTCTTCTGGATGTCAACCAGAGACCGAGCACTTCGGTGCAACCAATTGACGGAAAAATCTAAAATTGAATGAAATAATTAATAAGACCTGTTGCAAAAGAGGTGGCTATCGTGGTCCAAGTGGTCTAATGGATAGTACTTAGGCATTTGAAACTATGGCCACTGGGTTCGAACCTCGGTGGGAACACCTATCACTTACTGGAGAATGCAGGTACATCCGGGTGACGAGTCACAAATAGGACGAAATGCGCATCCTGGTGCGTTCCACACTGCTAGTCACCATCAACCAATTGACTACGCATTTATTCAGTCACAGTGGTAGGTGTTTCCCAGCACGAAAAACCAAGTTCCTAGAGCAATGGCAAATGTAACTGACTCCAAAAGAGCGTTTGAATTGATATGTGTAAGGAGAGGTAGCTAGCTTAGGTACTTCATCTTTCGTTTGGTGAATAACACATTCGATTGTGAGGAAAATGCAAGCTACATTTTTACCGGTATTAAAAGTTATTCGAATCGATTTTGTCAGCTTGTTGGTGATTATTTCACTTGTGAATTACCTCAAAATTGCAGGTGTATATATATATAGGCTTCTTGTTAACAGATACAGAAGAATTATTTCCTAGTCTTTCGAGCATGTGTTTTGTAATGAATATTATCAATATTAATGTCGTGTTATAATTATTTATCGTTTTTCCTTTATGTATACTTTTACAAAATATAAATGGACTGTTTTCTCATGTACAGTATTCAGGTCAGATGCATTTTGATGCATAGGAGAGATATTAGACAGTCCAGTGTTATTTAAGCGAGTCTTTTGAAGACATAAGTTTCATTATAAGCTTTCATCATGAGATGACATCGGTTAGAAGACCATTGGGAAACTACTGAGGAGTACTGGACAGCTGTTTCATCCTGGTCTGGCAAGCCGTTTCAGGAGTACGCCCCTATCATGGGTTCAAATTCTGGACCTTCTGGTTACAAGGCGAACTCGTAGATCATTAAGCCATCGGATTCGAACTCCAGTGTGTGCGTATTGCTGAAGCGGAGTTCCAAAGTAGGCTGACGAAACAGCTGTGGTTTTCCAATGGTTCTTTAACCGATGTCAAGTGATGACGAGATCCTCTAAGCATTCAAATCAAGTCCCTGCACACCAATACCTGAATCATTCGAGCTTCTTGATAATTCTGATTAGATGTATTCACCCAGTCAAGTAATGGGTATATACTATGAGAGGTAAAGCACTCAGAACAAATTCAGTAGTTAATGTCAGTAAAAAGTTTGAGCATTTTGGAATAGATCAAATAAAGTATCATTATATTTCAATAGTTTACACACAATGATAAGTTTTTGTTTGTTTTTGGTAAAATTTCGAGCAAAATTACTACTGCTCGTGATCACAACAACTGTTGGAATTGTTTTGTTTTTTAATTTACACATTTATGATTTGTACTCATACATATATATAGTTCCCTTAATTTTTTGGTTCATTCATTTTTGTGTATTCAGAATTATATTCCAGGTTGTTGACACTTGTGCTACTGAGTCACCCTTGTCACATGTATCCGGTGTTACATTAGTGAATATAGATTCTATTATGAGTCTCTCTTTCCATTTGTTCATATTAGTTTTTAGAATACTCATTAGTGTTTGACTAAAAGAAGACGCTGTTTGAACTTTTAGTGAGAAGTCTGTCTGTCTATCTGTCTGTTTTCGACATAGAACTTTGCATATATGTGCGGCAGTTCAAGTCGACACACTCCACTCCATGTAGCACACAAATCAAGAGAAGAAAGTAGGAGAAATACATAGTATAGACAGTAAACAGAGGTGTGGGACAAAGGAATAGTAATAACGAAGAACAAAACAGTCTCATTGGAAATCATAAGTCACAAGGTATGGATGCATCTGCGCCAGTCATTGAGAACGATTTTGAGCCATGTCACCAATTGTTTCCAACCATTGGTTTTACCGTCCCAAGGACCCCAACCAAGAAGTCTACACCTTCCTACGTGGCCTAGACTAACTGTTGTGAATTTCATTGACTGATGAAGCCATGTTTTCGTTTGACCGCCGCTAGCTCTTTTCCAGCCTGACCCTATGTCAGCTAACATTGCCCGTTTTTGAGGAAGGTGATGACTAGGCATACGTAACACATGTCCTAACCATATCAGTCGATGTAATTTCACAGCCTCGTCTATTGATTTCCCCTCCTTAGTTAACACTCGACCGGTGCCTAACTTCAATATTGCTGACCTTATTATACCACTTCACGTGGGAGATAGAACGGAGACACCTAGTGACGCCCACAGGAATAAATAAGGAGCGGCATAATTAAACAAACAAATGTTCAGATCGATGTAGTCGTTGATAGTCGGTTGAGTAATTCTAGATTGTGAGGGAAGTAAATAAACAATGTTATCATGAAGCTGTGATAAGATTAAGGGATTAAAAATGAAAATACGATGCGATTTTGATATCGTCATCTGATTAGGTCCTAATTTACCAAGGGATAGATAATGGCTTTACAAAACTTCTTTTGAATGCATCGTTTAGGTTTAACAGTTCGAATGCCTATCACTTCAGTTGTGCATAGTAGACGAATACGGAATGCATTTGAGAAGGTTCGGTGGGATACGACAAACCATCTCCTCTTTTTTATTCCTTTAAGTTCCCAGTGCTGGAACATAGGGCTTCAAGCTAGAGGCTTGAAGTTTCGGTAGCAGTGGTGTTTAATTTTACGGGATGGGGTTGCTAGCCACTTCATGCTCAACCTTCCCTCTTTACCAGTCTTATTACTGGCTTAGCAAGATGAAGGAGGAGTGCGTCAGTCTGCCGGCGAATGAACCCCGGACCACGTGCGTGGTCGGTGAGCATTTTACCGCCGTGCCACCTATAAGAGACCACTGTAAAGTGAATGCAGGAAAACGGAGCTTTGAATAATATTTGTTCTGTTCTTCACCAAACCGCGATGGGAGGTGTGCAGTGACATGTTGGTTAAGCTTTCTATTAGTACGCCTAATGTAACTGTCTCTGCAGGAGCAGTGGAACTGATAAATATATATATATATAGATGTGTTGAAACTGCCAACTTGTCCTTCATTTGAGTACGAATCATTCGTAGGTTTATTGAGTAAAAAATTCTCCGGATACTTCTGGCTAGTCTCTAGAACAAAATCTCATCTGACTACTCTCTATTAAATCGTAACTTAGTAAATAATGGTTTTTCCAAGCTATCATTCATTACCTCAGGCTTTCTGTCTAATGTTTTCATATGTTTCTTTTGAAGCTGCTGGGATAGCTAACTTCCGTCGGGGATTTATGAATAAATTCAAAATTTTTAGGTGTTGGTTTGCAGGGATTTGATTTGATTGATTACAGGATTTCATTATCAACGGACATCGGTTAGAGAACCACTGGAAAACCACTAAAGAGTACTGGATGTTTTATACTAGTTTAAGACTCGTTTGAAGTATGTACCTACAGGCCTTCGAACCGAGGACCTTCCAGTTACAAGGCGAACTCGTAGACCATTCAGTCACTGGGACCCAATTAAATGGCCCATGAATTCCAACTTCTGCCGATTCACGATTTAGCGTGACCACTAACCAATGTTATCGGTAAGTATTTATCCACACACCCAACCAGCTATACCCCACTAGTGAAGATTTCTCACTAGGAGCCCTGGTAACTACTACCTGAATAGGTCCAGTGGCTAGTTAGCATCAGATTGGTATTGATTGGCTAGTGGTCACGCAGAAGTTGGAATGTATGGGCTAGCCATTGAATCGGGTCACATTGGTTGGGTAATGGTCTAGGTGCTCGCCTTGTAACAAGACGGTTCCGACTGTGAATCCTGGTGAGTACGCACTGCCAAATTGGAGTCCCAAACTAGGAGGGAACAGATATCCAGTACTCTTTAATGGTTTCCCAATAATTCTCTAACCGATATCCGGTGATGATGAAATCCTGTAACATTCAAATTTCTTTTGTAGGTAATCTTCCTTATGTATATTTCTTTCCCTGAACATAAGACAGTTAATGATATAATGATGATTGAATACTTGAAGTATTAGTTGGGGCTATTTGAATGATTTTAAGTTTAATTGCGGAGTAATATCATTAAGAGAACTCTTAAAAAACCAGAAAGTACTTCAATTCCATTTCATTCTACTTTCGGATTCTTCATCAGTACGTACCGATGATTACAGCTACCGGTGGTCGACTGCACGACCCTTAGGTGGCAAGGGTAGTCTATTGGTTTTGATCCCCATCATCACTATCGGTTCCAACTGCCAAAAAGCTCGAAACTAGGATGAAACAGACGGTTTTCAATGGTCGCCTGGATGACATCATATTTCATGGCCGGAGTTTAGATCAGTCCAACTCCCTGGGAAACTAATGCTTCAATATTGATTTGATGATATTAGATGGTTGGAGGCAATCGGCAGAAAGTCCAGCCTGACCCAGGTTTCTTGCCTATCGGCTCGCACTCACCAGTCAGCAAGGCATATCTGCAACCTTGAAGGAACTCATGTCCCACCCTTTCGAGATTTGAACCCACGTCACTCAGTGTTACAGTCAGAGACTTGACCACTGAGATATTTGGGCTCGCGATTGACCTCCTGTAGGACTGACTGTATTGGATACTAGTGTGATGTGACTAGTCCTATTTTTGGTGCAGACTGAATTCTATCAGTCAGGTTTTCAATGTGGCCAATATTCTAGGTAGCTCGCCACCAATACTGATTCTTAACTGTATTCATCAGAGTTATCAGAGTAGATTCCAAATGGTGTGAATTACAGAATGGAGGGACTACCCTTTTCTCGTTGAAGAGCCTCCAATTGGGTCGAAACACTTGTTCTCATCTTCCTGGTTTACAGCTATAATGAAACTGAAACTGTAAACAGATGGGTTTTATGGATTCTATTAAATAGTCCTTTCCACAATTTAACTCGAACTAATTCATTTTATAACTAAACAAACCTTTCTGTACAAACATCCATTCTCCGTGTTCTTCATACATTTTTGCAAATTTTCCTTATCTCATCACTATAGGTGAATAATGTTTTACTAAATAACAGCAAACCCGTGGAATACTGTTCACCGTGTCAACCATTCTATTCAGATAGTAATAGTCATAAGCATAGAAGAAGTAGTAGTAGTAATAGTAGTACAGATAATAAATCAAAACACGACTGCCTGCTCCACTGTCAAATTGATGATTATCCTTTAACGACAATCGATGGACATATTGATGACTTATCGCCACAATCAACACCAACCAACATTACTATGACAACAACAGAGATAAACAATACAGAAATGTTAACCGGTGGTTCACAATTGGATATTGAAAAGTCAACTAATAAACAGACTAAAATGAATCATCATGATTCAGTGTATTTAGAAATCAATGAAAATAATTTATTGTTATCGCCATCTGCATTAAACAGTAATAATAATGATTATTATTATTCAGAAGAAATTGTACACAGAATTAGAACAGAATCAGAAACACAAAATTCAAATAACCCCTTGAACAGTGCCGGAGGATTTGAAGTATCCGCGTTAGACTTAACTACTACTACCACTACTACTATTGATACATTAAAACAACTGGATACTAAATATTCACCGCGTTTATTTGAAAGCAATGAATTGTCAATAAAACAAACAAATGACAATAATGAATTAGAAGAATTAATAATTGAAGAAAATTTTAATGAATAAATGAATCATGATGAGGCACAATTTACTGTCTAAATTATTCTTGTAATTATTACTGAAAGTGTAATTAAATACTACTGATACAAGTGAGTAAGTAGTAGGTAGTACATGTTGAAGTTGAAACGTGTTAGTTCATTAGCTATTTAGTTAGTTAGTTAGTCGGTTAGACGTGTTTTTTCCTCGTTGTTGTGCATGTGTGAATATGTCGTTGTCAAAAAACGGTGTAAAGATAGCACCAGTCAAAAATGTTGTTTAGTGAACGAGTTATTTATTTTTAATGTTGAGCACTTTACATTTTGGCTGAAAATGATTTGAAATCATGCGATTTGTCTCGGGTTAATTTTTTATGTTATTATTATTGTTTCCTTCAGTTCCAAGAGGAACGTCTCCATTGCGTTCGGTTCTCTGCCAACGTTTTCACCTAGCTCCAGGTCTACCCACATGCTTTCATCTTCTCTTCACATGACCTCCTCCATGTCACCTTCACAGTTGCCACTTCCCATTCGAGTTACACTCGAGCAATGGCCTGGAGTGTGATGTCACTTACTTGGTGGTTTGTTTTCTCAGAGTATGGCCAATCAACCTACATTTCTTCCTGCATATTTGTTGCACAATTTGGTTCCTGCTGGGTTGGTTCGCTTCCACAGATCCCTGATCTTGAGTATTGAGCGAAGACAGCTGTTGATGAAGGTCTGCAGTTTGTTCAAAGTGCCGTTCGTTACGCGGCGCAGCGACAAGTCTCTGATCCGTATAGTGAGTAGCACCGACTTCACATTGGAGTTGAAAATCCGGATCTTACTTTTCATGCTGATTGCTGAGTGTTGATCTCCACACAGACTTGAGATAAATGATAGCTTGCCTTGCTTTCCCGATCCTCGTTTTGATATCCTCATGACTCCCGTCTAACTGTAGTTGAAACGATGTGTCAATTTTTTATGTCATTATCAGAGAAGCAGCCTCTTCTGATTAGTTGCTTACTTGCTGAAGATTATTCTATTATCTCTTTGTGGCCGTTTCTTAGAAAGTCAGGCCATATATCTGCAAATCATATTTGCACACGTTAACTCCGCTGTGATTGGTTGGTGGGTTCCTCAAGGTTAAGCTTTGTTTCCCTCATGACCCTGATTCGGGACGTGAACATTAACGTAAATTGTTGTCTACAATTTTGGCTTGCAGACAGCTCTCGCCACACTATCTGTTAGCAACCACCACTGTTTGATCTCAATAGAGAGCAGGTTGTCAGTTCATGATAAGACTGCCTAGGACACACTTCAGAGACTACACCATAAAATAAAGTTTAGCCTGCAGGTAAGTTAATGCTGGTTGTCTTATTGAAATCCTAGAGTTTCGATGGGATGCCACAAAATGGAATAACCAACTAACTATTTAACTAACTAACTAACTAACTAACTAACTAACTAACTAACTAACTAACTAACTAACTAACTAACTAACTAACTAACTAACCATGAACTAACTAACTAACTAACCATGAACTAACTAACTAACTAACTAACTAACTAACTAACTAACTAACTAACTAACTAACTAACTAACTAACTAACTAACTAACTAACTAACTAACTAACTAACTAACTAACTAACTAACTAACTAACTAACTAACCATGAACTAACTAACTAACTAACTAACTAACTAACTAACTAACTAACTAACTAACTAACTAACTAACCATGAACTAACTAACTAACTAACCATGAACTAACTAACTAACTAACTAACTAACTAACTAACTAACTAACTAACTAACTAACTAACTAACTAACTAACTAACTAACTAACTAACTAACTAACTAACTAACTAACTAACTAACTAACTAACTAACCATGAACTAACTAACTAACTAACTAACTAACTAACTACCTAACTAACTAACTAACTAACTAACTAACTAACTAACTAACTAACTAACTAACTAACTAACTAACTAACTAACTAACTAACTAACCATGAACTAACTAACTAACTAACTAACTAACTAACTAACTAACTAACTAACTAACTAACTAACTGACTAACTAACTAACCTTGAACTAATTGACTAACTAACCAACTAATTAACTAACGCTTGTGGTTGTGTCAGTTGAGGTGTATATGTTTAACGATTATAAATACATTTTCTGGAATTGATTCTAACTAATATTTCCTAATATTTTCTTGTTAGGCATCAGAACCAGCAGTAGTTCCTGAGGAAAAACAACCAAGTTCCCAATGAGTGATACTGCCAGTTGAATAATTCTCTGATATTTTTAAAAAGACGTTTGAATGATCAGGTGTATGTTATACTGCTTACCTATCAAGTGTAAAATGAATGGTGCCATCGGCGTTATCTTCACAGGTGTTGCTATTATTATTATTATCATTACTACAAATATCACTCATAATTATACTCAGAAAATTATTATTACATTGGGGACCTTCACATATCAATCAATACTCCTTTTTTTATTATCATCACAGTTTCATGTAATTGAAATTTAAAGTTCATATTTAAACGGTCCGCCTCAGAAAAATTCAATGTTCAATAAATGAATGAACGAATAGATAAATGTCAGCTGGCGGTTCATTTAAAACAGTTAAAAATACAATGTTACAAGCAGGTTAATAACAAACATAAATTCATATAAATAATTGTTTGAAAATGTAAAAGGTTCAAGGTCAAATGTTAAGAAGGATACGCTTTATCAATAAACTTTATTCAGCAAAAAAATGTGAACACATTTGCACAAGATAATACTCAAACACACACAATTACACACACTTGCAAACAAATGAATACCAATAGTAAATTGTATTTTTTATGTTTGAAATTAACAAAAACGAAAGAAATACAATCCTATTGGGGGTAATGGTTTGATTTTTGGGTGGTTTTTATTGGTTTTGCATTGTCGCATGGTTTGTGAAATTAGAAAAACGGTAGATTAAGTCATCTCGGAAAACTGAGGTCACACCACCTAGTTAGAGAATTGGCATGTGACGAAAAGAATTTTTAACAGACTACCGCAGCCTTAAGCTCTCTTCTCTGGCGCCATACTCAAGATCAGATAGTCAGGAGGCTAGGAAAGATAGGCGGCAAGAAACTCTGACAATGCAGCGCAGTGAAACACTCAAGAGCCTGTTACCCAAGAAATATGCCGAAGGAAATGGAGATGGATCGGCCTGGCGTTGTGGAGACCATTGAATGATACCACACACACTCAGCAGCTCCTCGAGTGTAAATCGAATGGGAAACGAAAAGTAGGGCGTAAGTCCGAGTGTAGCATTGAGGGAATCGTAGATGTTCCATTTAGAACCTAAGGCAATAATAATAATGATTGACACGTGTGTAGGTATTGGGAGGTGTTTCTTAATTAGATGGGCCGTTTCATTCCAGTAAATGACTAGTTTGACATTTTCAAGTTTCTGCAGGATAATGTAAACTCCATTGATTACTTTTTGAATTCAAATATGTTTATGAAAATGGTGTATTCTAACGAGTTCGTCGGACGTGTGCTCGACTAAGTTCAGTCCAAATTTCGGCTAGTACCTAAGCGGACTGATAGTACATGGATTCCTAAACACTATGCACCGTTGTCCTGTTTTACCTTTCCAATAGGTTGTAATAATTAACACTGTTAATTGTTCTTTGAATTCTGAGCAGACCCTATGGCCTCAGCAGTTCATCTCTGTTGCATCCTCCTTTTCGCCGTCACTCTCAGCTCAATCTGTTGTGGACTAAACCGCTAAACTCGTTTATACGTGAAGAAAAAGGAAAAAACAAATACAAATATGTAGGCACGTAGAGAGGAATTCAGTCCACAGTTACTTGGTGAGTTATAATTGTCCCAAAATACACAAGTAAAGACGTACACAATTGTAATGAAGAAGTAGTCCTTTTTGGTATGCACTTGCTCACTCCACGTAAGAGTATGACAACAGCTCAAGGGTACTTGCAGAGAAAAAAGGAGATTGAAGTAAAGGATCCGAATGTGGATGTACGGATCAGGTACGAGCCAGAGAGGATTAGTAATAGTGGAAAGCAAGAAGCTGGAGAGGGAAGTTGTGTCATCCGTACTGCGCGCTGAACCAGGTCGTGTCCTTATTCAATCTCAATTAACAACCATGATATGCAGTGAACTCATTATTTTTTACTATTTTACAATCAACGTATAATTTGATCATGAAAAATACCTATTTATTTACAAGAGAAAACAGTTTTTTTGTTCAGCGAAGAAATTTCTTTTCAATGACTTCATTTTCAAGCTGTACATTCGTATTTATATTATTAAGTGGCACTAAATAATTGCTCAGTCAGTATATATATATATATGTGATAAGAATAAAGATAATTAAAATGTTATAAGGGGTAGAGTTGAAGTGGATACATTACAAAATTATTATAAGTGAATTGAAATCAAAAATGTTTTAAAAATGTCAAGTGTTGTCTAAAAATTAAAAAAAATTAGGAGTACGATTACGATAAGAATGAAGAGGAAAGAATTCAAGTGGTAAAATAAAATAAAGTAAAAACTAGAAAGAACAATACTATTACCAAGGTAAAGAAAGGGGTTTGACAAAACGTTTTTGAACTCATAATTTAGGTTTCTGTTCATGTACAGCTAAAGCTTCGGCTATGCATAAGTGAAGAAAACGTAAACTTTTGGATCGATTCGATTTTGCCATGTAGATAACTTTGAAAGATGAATCACGTGGGGCTAAATGACCTGACTCTAACAGGTGATCATAGATAGACGACTTCGCAGTTCTACGTTCGCCTTTCATTAACCAGACTGGATAGTGTTCAGCTACACGTTTTCGGAGATTACGCTTACAACGTCCAATATAAACAGCTCCACAAGAGCAGGTAAGAGAGTAAATACACATAGATGTGGACAAAAGTGGTAATCTATTCTTGACGCATTGTCTAATCATATTTCGGCTGGTAAAAACTAGTTGCAAGTCAGCTGCAGGAAAAGTGCGTTTAATACATTTAGATAAACGAT